CTGTTTTGGGGCCGACTCACTCTGTTGCCCTGGGTACAGTGCAGTGGCATCATCACAGCTCATTGGTTTCAAACTTCTAGGCTCAAGCAATCCTCCTGCCTCACCTCCTGAGTAACTGGGGCTTCAGAAGCACACCACCACACCCAGCTAATTTTTTCTGGTTTCAGTAGAGATCAGGTCTTCCTCTTGTTCAGGCTGGTCTTGAACTCCTCAGTTCAGTCAATCATCATACCTTTGCCTCCCAGAGTTCTAGAATACAGGCATGAGCCAACAAGCCCAATCCTCATTGTAGTTTTAATTTGCATTTCTGTGGTTACTAATGAAGTTGTTCTATCATTGAGTTTGAAGAATCTTTTGATTTCCACCTTAATTTTCTCCTTGCCCCAACTAATGCACAGCAGTAGGTTGTTTAGTTTCCAGGACTTTGTGTATAGACAAGCATTTCTGTTTGAATTGATTTCTAGTTTTATTCCATCATGGTCTGAGAAGATACATGGTATAATTTCTATTTTTTAAAAATGTGTTGATACGTGTTTTGTGTCCTAGGATGTGATCAATCTTAGAGAATCTTTTGTGAGGTGATGAGAAGAATGTATATTCAGGGGATTTGGGGGTAGAATGTTCCGTAAATATCTGTCAGGCCCATTTGTTCTAGATCTCTCTTAAGTTCCATCATTTCTTTTCCTTTTTTTTCCAGATAAGAGTTTCACTCTGTTATCCTGGGTAGAGTGCTGTGGCATCATCAAGCAACCTCAGTTTCTAGAGCTCAAGAAATCATCTCAGTCACTAGAATAGCTGGGGACTACAGGCACTCACCACAACACCTGTCTACTTTTTCTACTTTTAGTAGAGATGGGGTCTTGCTCTTGCTCAGGCTGGTCTCCAACTCCTGAGCTCAAGCAATCCACCCACCTAAGCATCCCAGAGTGTTAGGATTATAGACATGAGCCACTGTGCCCAGCTTCATGCTGCCAACTTCTAACCACAATAGTGACTAGAGGTTTAGTTCTGTATATAAATGGAGTGTTATGGGATGATCCCTCCCCTTTTTCCCTGGTTGAAGCCACTCATGGAAGCAGGACCAGTAAGGGATTTTTGATTAGACAAGACACCACACACCACACACCAAAGAGATCCTACTTTGGATCTGAGGAAACTAGGACCTCTATTGCTTTCCTATTATTATTGATAAATAGTTTGGCTATATTAAACTCATATACAAACTATCAGTACTTAAAAACTATAAACTGGGGGCAGCGCCTGTGCCTCAGTGGGTAGGGCAGCAGCCCCGTATACCAAGGGTGGTGGGTTCAAACCCAGCCCCGGTCAAACCGCAACAAAAAAATAGCCAGGCATTGTAGCAGGCGCCTATAGTACCAGCTACTTGTGAGGCTGAGGCAAGAGAATCGCCTAAGCCCAAGGAGTTGGAGGTTGCTGTGAGCTGTGACGCCACGGCACTCTACCAAGGGTTAATAAGTGAAACTGTCTCAAAAAAATAAAAATAAAAAAACCAAAAAACTATCATTAACAAAAGTGTATATTTACTCTGAATTAATAATGTAAAGTGTA